TTTCATCTTGCTGAAAATTCCACCATAGATATAACTTTTGATATCGAGTCTATTTTGAAACTCTTGGACTTTCAGATCATAGTGCTAAAGAATTGTTCGCTAACTCTGTTTTAATTAATTAAATAATTATGCCTAGTTAATTTTAATTAGGTGTGAGCTGAAAGAACTGATATTTGTTTAACAAAAAGAATCAAAGTCAAATCGTAGACGATCATATATTCGTTTTAGTTGATTTTGTTCATAGATTCTATTTTTCTTTTAGTATTTGTAGAAAAAAAAGAAAAGTAAAAACTAACCTGTTGATTCCATTTGTAATGATAATTTATCAATATTATTCATTAAATTATTACATGTTCTTAAAGATCCAACTTCTTTAATAAGTTCATTAATTGAATAATGTTCATCATAAACAATAGGAAGTTTTTTATTATTTAAACATTTATGTTTTTTTTTAATTCGTCTTACACGACAACAACAACAAATAGCAGTAATAGAAAAAAAAATTATTAAAACAAATGTAATTAATATAATTGTGACTAAAATTATAGTTGGATCTAATTAAATATAAAACACAAAAAATAAAATGTAAAAGAAGAGAGAAAAAAAGAAAAAAAAAATTTTTTTTTGTGTATCTTACCATCAGATGTATCCATTTGATAAAGACGACTTTGTTCAATACCAAATTCATTTTCTCCTATACATGATAAACGATTAAGTGTTTTTGATGTTGGAATTATTCTAGGATAATCATAGATTAATTTTGATATACAACTATAATCATTACATGTAGTTGATATAGATAATTGATCAGAAGATTCAATAGGTTGATCATTCAATCTCCAAGTTATCCTCTAAATTAATAGAATAAAAACAAAAAAAAATTCTTTTTATTTTATTTAAATTTATTATACAAGTATTGGAGTAGATGAATAAACTTGACATTCAAATAATCGATTATATTGTTTTGATTCTTGTATATAAATCAATGGTTTACCTAAATAAAATAAAATTTTCTTAAAGAAGAGGAAAAAAAAATAAGAATTCTAAATACCTTT